CCCAGACGCACGATCGCTTAAGTGATTCACATTCTCGTTTAAGCGATTTATGCTTTTATCCTTGGTCGCTTAAGCGATTATAGCGATATATTCAGACGCAGAATTACGACCTGCCAAATGCATGATCGCTTAAGCGATTTACACTATCGCTTAAATGATTCTTCTCTTTTACCCTTGGTCGCTTAAGCGATCAAGTCCGAAGCAGAATGAATATTTGCCAGTTGCACGATCGCTCAAGCGATTTACTCTCTCCCTTAAGCGATTCTTCACTTTTATCCTTGGTTGCTTAAGCGATATATTAAGTCTAAGACAGAATCAGTATCTGCCCAGATGCACGATCGCTTAAGCGATTTATGTAATTGCTTAAGCGATTCTTTGCTTTTACCCTTGGTCGCTTAAGAGATAAGAAATCGATTAAGCGATCAAGTCCATGATAGCATAAGCTTCTGTCCAGATGCATGATCTCTTAAGAGATTTATTTTCTTGCTTAAATGATCCTTTATGAAAAACCCTTTGTCGCTTAAGCGATAATTCTAGTCGCTTATATGTTGCTTAAGCGATCATGGGCAATACGTTTTTTTTTCCAGCTTTTCTCCTTAATTTTGACAAACTAAAATCACCAACACATATTACTTCTATACTTTCTCCTGAATTTGACAACCTAATTGCATCAACACATCAAGGCCATGTAACAAGAAGACTAAATATAAAGGATCATTTATTCAAGGTAACAATAAAATTTAAAACATAAAAAATTGAAAACAACAACTCCTCAACGGTTGGCCTTGGGAACTCTCTTGATTTCATCCTTCATCGAACCTAATTTTCTGGATCTGCATGTGATTGATTCTGGCATCTGCTTCTCTTGTGGCCAGGTTGTTTGCAAATTGATCACTTTTTCATCCTCCGAGGAATCTTAGAGGCTGATGGAATACGCTTAACTCTTTTTCTCCACTTTTCTATCTTCTTGAATGGCGGATGGATGATAATGTCAGCCAACTCTAGTGGCACTACCCATTGCTCTTCTGGAGGAACTGGATATATCGTTTCTGAATAAGCCAACATGTAGTGATTTGCCATATAGAGAAGGGAGCAAAGTTTCATGTAAATTCTTGAACCAAAATCCGGCTTCCGTTGGTGTTTAAGTGTTGCTAGTGATGAGGACAAGGTAAGCATTGAATGTCTAGCACTTTACAGCTGCAAGTTTTACTAACAAGGTTAACTAGGGCATCCGAACCATAGCTGTGCATGGTGAACTCTTGAGCATTAAGAGGATAGGCAAACAGTGCATTTGACAGTTCTATACATTCTCGCAATAATTTTTCAGCTGACGGAACAAGGGTTATAGTAAAATTATCTGACTTCGTACGACGCTCATGGAACCACAGTGACATTGTCCTCTAGATTGCATCAAAAAGGGAAACTATTGGAAACTCTCTTTCTATTAATAACTTCGAATTTATGGACTCGGCTATGTTCATGGTCATGACATCAAACCTTCTTCTAGGAAAGTAAGCTCTACTCCATCGTTCGAAACCAACATCATGCTCAAGATACTTAGCAATTCTATCATCTTTGATTCAGATTTGTCAGAAGTAATCCTCGAACTCATCAACTCGATAAGCTATTGCTGCTATGTAGTATGTCTAAAGGAGGCTAGCACACTTAAACTTTTGCTTTATATTCTCACCAAGGTGCCTCATATAGAATCCGTGATGTGCTTAAGGGTAAATAGTAGCAATCTCTTTCTTTACAGAGTTGTGCCTATCGGATATTATGCACAACTCGTCACTATCAGGCACTATTGTACGTAATTGCTCAAAAAACTAAGTCCACGACTTGTCATTCTCAAAGTCAACCACACACCATGCAATGGGATATGTGTGATTCTCGCTGTCTTGTGTAGTGGCCACCAACAATGTACCTCCATACTTTCCAGTCAAAAAGCAATCATCAACAGCCAACACCTTTCTCATGTTTACAAAACCCCTTATAGTAGAACTGTAAGTAACAAAAAATATATTTAAACATCTTATTCTTGTCCCACTTCAAAGTCGTCTTGCTACCTTGGTTTGTCAACTCAAGCATATAATGGTACACTTCTAATACTGCATATTCGTGCTCTAGCGTGCCCCTCACAAAATCTTGTGCATGTTGTCTCCCTTTCCAGCATTTCCAGTAACTAACAACACATCCCAACTCTGTGCGCATAAGTCTCTGAATGTCTTTAGGAGATGGACCTTTCCCTTTAACGAACTGACTTTTGACAAATTGTCTAATAACATCAGTAGAGGCTTGTCGATGCTCACCTGAACTTTGTCCCAAACCACATGTGTGCTCATGGGTATATGTGCTAAGAATAATTTTTTCGGACTTCGTCAACCTTCTACAATAAACCTGCCACTTGCACTTTCGGTCACGACATGCAACCGTCACAACCGATGAATTAGACTTTTTGGTGATGAACTAAAAATTACCTCTCACGGCAACAAGTTTTAGCTTCCTCACCACTTCTTCTTTGTTGTTAAATAAATACCCTATGCACAACTCCGATCCATCCATAAAAACATGAGTTGATTCACTACTACCTGCAGTTGCCCCCTCTGAACCTGCATAAAAGACCATAATGTTCTCTTCCTCACAAACTACACCATCTGCATAATCTGTATTTGAAGGAATCTCTACATCTGTGGGAACATGTATGGGGTCCTCCTTCTCAACATTTTCATTCTGCCGCACATGACCAACCTCTTCTATAGTGTCCTCCTCACCACCCAAATCACCGCTTACTCTTGATTTTTCAACTAAAAAATCAATACCCTCGTAGTTCAAATTAAAACCAGCCAAATCTCTGCCAACTTCCTCGTTATCCCCTTCTTTTGAACCAACTTCCAACGGTTTATCTACAAAAGAAACCCTTAAAATCGGTCTCGAACCATTATCGCCCACATCAATCATATATAACTTCACACCTTCATCCGACTTTAATATAGCAGGAAGTACCTTATAATGTTTAGGAACTCTACTTAAAATATACTTCACAATTATATCATTACGTGAGCAACTCAAATCACCTCTTCTAATTATTTCATCAATCAACTCATCAAAACTAACCTCTGTGCTCACAACAATTGGTATAACTTCTTTGCTCTTTCCAATCCACTTCCAACAACTTTCTTCCTCCACCCACACACCAAAATATTCAACAGCCAAAACAGCTTGTCCCATGCCTAATAATAGCCAAGTACCTATAATGCAAGAAAAAAATATATATGATTAACTGATGGTTTAAAGGTTGAAAGATTTTAAAAAGTATCTGCAGAGTCGCTTGAGTGATCTAGTGTATCGCTTAAGTGATCTGATATATCGTTTACTGCGCGATCCGGTATAAAAAAGCCTGATCGCTTAAGTGATCTTATGCCATTTACTTGATCGCTTAAGCGATCTGCTGCTATACACCAAACTTATAATAGATCGCTTAAGCGATCTTCTGCCATATACCTGATCGCTTAAGCGATCTACGAACTGCTACATTATACCAGGTATACCAAATCGCTTAAGCAGATTGCTTAAGCGATCTACGAACTGCTACATTATACCAGACATACCAGATCGCTTAAGCGATACAAGCGATCTATCATATCCAGAATTATTTTTCAGTCATCTCCACCTACAATCGGTGCTACCACCCTTAGCTACCCACAATGCAAGAAAATATTCAACAAATTTCATTCATTTCAACTTCCATTATATCAAACACAACCCAACAACCTAAACAACTAAATCAAAATCATAACCCAAACACAATCCATCATTAAATCTTTGTAAATCGAAATATAAAATGGAAAGGGGAGATACAAATACCTGGATGAAATGTCAGGAGGATGAGGAGGAAGAGGATCTGTGGCAGAGAAGATGTTAATGGCGGAGGAAGAAGATAGTGTTAATGGCGGAAAGATGTATAGGACGGAGGAAGAAGAAGATGTACAGGAAGAAGAAGATGCAGAAGAAGAAGATGAAGATGTAGACGAAGCTTACAAGAAACAACAACCAGGGGAGGAATGCGTTAACGTGGCGGGAGGAAGAAGAAGAAGGAATATGGGTTTGTTTGCAAGAATTTCGGCTCTTTGGGGATATATTATAATTTTTAAAAGATTACACAATTATTCATTAATCCTAATTAACCCCTAATCATGTTTAATTAAACTTAATAAAAAACAAGGTTATTTAGTTAACACTTACAAACTGTATACCCTTTTAATTAAATTTTAACTTCAAATAGCCTTTTAATAAAATGCCCCGAAAAATATGTCCACAGAGTTTAGCGGAGAACATAACAAAACATGCACTCGATAATTCGTGGATAGATTAACAGATTCTCCTTTTGCAAGAGCTGCAAGGAAAACGAAATACAACCATGTCGGAGGCAAGATCGATGATATTTCTGTGATCGTTGCGATAATTAAACCACCAGTTTGATCTTTCTTAATTTTTTTTTTTTGTTTCTCGGAATTCTTGGTGAAAGTTGTATGTAAAGAATTATTGCAGGAGTTTAAATCGACAATGTAATGAATTATGAAGAATTAGCACCACTCAATAATAGAGTTTGTTTAGTTTCATATGTGTTAATATTCTTATGTTAATTTTAATTTTTCTCTGCGAAAATTTCATAATTTCAAGATTCTTTCTAAAGATTACATAAACAATATATTTACTTTTATACAAAGATTAAATGCAGCTTACTAGGTTTGCTTTAATTTAAGAGCTGCTTTTAATAGAGCTCTAATTAGCCCTTTTTTAATCTTAAGTTCAGAGGTTTAGTTCTTCGGTAACATCGGTAATGTTACTACATGGACATCATATTATGATATCGATGTCAAAGGAAGATGTTATATTACCAAGGGTTATGAGAGAGCTCCTGTTTTTCTTCTGTTTTTTTTTTTAAATCCAAGGGCTGGAGGGCCCTGCAGGTCTGGTAACATTACCACGCCAGTGCTGTAGTATTCACCTCAAATATGCCACCAAAAGCATCTATTAATCATCATGTAAAGAGGTACAGGAAAACTAAGAAAAGTGAGGTTAGTGAAGGCAATACGGTGGGCAATAGCAGCCCAAGAGACCAAAAGTCAAAAGATGGCAGTTTCCTATGAATTCTGTTGCTAATACCCATTAAATAAGACATAGTCTGTCTTCTCAAAGATCATTACAACGGTTCTCCTCCATTCTCCTCCATTTCTGTCTGCAGAGAGACACTACCATGTTGAAATCTCAACTAATTTGCAATGCCATCTTTGTCCTGAGGTACCTGAAAACATATCATATAAACAGCAATCACCAAACATGATGAGGTTGTTCATTACCAAAAGGCAATGCACAAATCTCAAACTTAAAAAAATTGTCTCACCAGACAACCTTCAATCTACAATTTTCAATTCTACTGTCTGCAATTTCCTTATCAACATATTTTTATTTTTCATATGCACCATCTTCCTTAGTCTACTAGCTGAATGTTTATTGAGTTCTGTCCCCAACCTTCCCAATTCAATTAACCTGGCTTTAATTTTTATTTCGCAGTGAGATTATAGCAAACACAGAGTGCTAATGTGAATATTCAAAAATCATATACCCAACTAATTTTCATGATTGAATAAAAGAGAATTTGGTATAACTATTATGTTCGACACAGAAGATAGGTGAGAATTGCTAAAACTAAGCAAGAACATATGCAGTGGAAATTTTTTTGTCAAAATATATCCATTATTGGTAGATAAAACATATCCATAAAGGAAAATAAGATAAAAAAAGTTTTAAATGTGCTTAAACAGAGAAATCATCTCACCAAGACATCTGTTGCTCCCTCTTGACTCCTCTCCATAGCCAAAATCCCATTGCAAACATTAGTAGCATGCTTACTGGTATCATCTTCAATTAGATAATTCTGCAACGCAAAGCAATAAAATGAATAAATGCAAACATCCCTTTTGCCACTCAGATTTTCACAAAGAAACAAAAGATGAAAGCTCCTCAACTTGTGTGTTGCTAACCTCACTAATTGTCACCGTTGAATCCTCTTTTTGAGCTACTTCACATATCCTTTTGTTGTTGGGATTACTTAAACCATCCTTATAATCATCAGCATTTGCTTCGACTTCAGCCTACAACATTTCACTTAAGATATTAATGACTTCAAAACTACTAGGAAAACTATCACATGACAAGATCAGTTACCAGTGACATGCCCAACTTTGCCAAGGAGTGGCTGAGAGGTTCGCCTTTTAACACAATTGTTGGAAAACGGTCAATATCCCAACCAAGAACCCTACAAATTGCCTGACCAAAAGCTCTGTGCGCCCGCTTCTTTTTTGTCTTTAATATTGCATTGGAATGCTGTAGAAGCCCAAGACAACTTTTAAAATTCTTCCAAACCTTCTTTCCAATCCCACCACAAACCAGACAACAGAACTTCCCTCCTTCATAATTTTGCTCATAATAACTTCTGAGCTCACTATTCTCTATGAAGACCTTCAGAAAAAACTTGAACTCTTCACTGTCCTCAGGTCCATCTTCATCATCACTTTGATCACCATCTGAACCAGCACTTTTCTCAAAGAATTCTCGGCAAGCGTCTGAGACTTTCTGCTGCAACTGCACTGCATCTATCTTTGCTTGCTCTTCCGCAGAAGGTAAGCGAACTAATGAAGGCGTATGGGGCTTCAAGGTAGGCCATCCTGGACCTACTATAGAGGATTCATCAACAGGATTTAAGCATGGCCATCCCATGCTAGTGGCCAATGATGGGCCAGATTCCTGGAAGAGAAAAAATGTGTTATTTCAATATGATCAACATCGTTACCCAAATTTACATCTACGGTTGATATGGTGGAAAGGACACATAAAACTATTTCAGAAAAGCACTTCCAAATGACACATATTAGAAAAATCTTCTAAAGATAATGTTATGCAAAAAATGTGCTAACAATGCTAGAAGAAGTACAGACAATTCATTTTATAGAGAATGATTCATCCCAAAATCACTAGCCTTTTTTCCAACCTTGGATACTTCTTATTCTTCTTCATTTTTTCTCCCCCTTTTGGGTATTAGGTAATGAAGCTAAAACATCAATTGAGCACTGGTGAGCATCATTATGGTGTTCTCAAGGGCATGTGATAGTGATAATGAGATTAAAATTTGTCAGTGAAACATCAGTAAGAGGTTCTGCAGAGTAGGGGGAAAAAAATAAGTAAAAAAAAGTTCTTTTCTACCAATGCCAAGAACATTTCCACCTTAATCTTACACATTTCTCCAGTGATATGTGGTACTTATCCCACCAAATCACCATGAATATCAGGCCTCAGGCTGTTTGGTCCAGGCAAAATGCTTAAATTATAACATGGAAGGACTCATCATGTCTCGATAATCTCTTTAATTAAATATCAAATCATGGCTCTTTCTACTTATTGACAAAACCAAACAGCTCAATGTTTTCAGCAACTTTAATGTTTGAAGCATTTTTTCGTACTGCAAGAACTTCATTCACTATGATTATCTTGGTTTCCTTTTGAAATGGCCAACCGAAGAGGAAAAAAAAAAAAAAAAAAAAAGAAAAGAAAGAAAAGAATGAACAAAACCACATATCAAATGCAAATGGCCGTTTTCACCAGACAATGTTACATCTTTATCTGCTTCCAAATTCAAGAACTCACCATCAAGATTTTCAACACATGTATTGGAATTATCTACATTAAAAGAAAAATAAATGTTTTGTCTCACATAGAAATGACCAATGGGATAAAAAAAAAAAAAAAAATTTACATAGTAATACAACTCACTATCAATTAATACAGAAAATATTGCTTTATAGAATAATACTTTAGTAATTATATATCAATATAGAACATTCCTCACCTGGCAATCCACTGCAACCCCTTTATCTGCTTCCATATTCAAAAGCTTGCTATCAAGATTTTCAACACATTTACCGACATCACCTACCTTCAAAAAAAAGAAAAATCATATATTCATATTAAAGTGGCCAACAACAAAAGAGAAAAAGAAAATTCAAATACAAAGTATTTACATATCAAATATAGAACACTCTTCTCACCCAGCAATTCACTGCTACATCTTTATCTGCAACATTCAAGAACTTGCCATCAAAATTTTTAAAAGCTTTTTCGGCATCATCTACCTTGACAGAGCTCTGCAACTAACAATAGTTGAAAAAAAGTTAACTACACCGAATCACATAGCTAAACCTAAACCTTCCCAGGTTTTCACATTTCAATTTATAGTGAATAACTTTCAAAATAATACACATCACTAACCTCACCAATCATCAATTCACCATCATTTCGATTACCATCTAAAACCACTTTCTCAACAATTTCACCATCATTTCCACTTCTAGAGCCCTCGTTTTCCTGAGCAACAGTCATATCTTCCTTATTATCTTCTGCATTTGCCTTTGCCGCTTCATCCTTCAAGATTTAAACCCATTCATAAGCCACATTTTATTTTCCATATACGAATATTTCCTAGTAAAGACACCATCTTGCAAAAAATTAAACACAGACCTTAAACCACCAACATCACAATCGAAGAAATGCACAAAAAGAATTGCTTTTTGTATTAATTTCAGAGTATTTCACACATATTTTTAAAGATTGATTTTTTTTTTTTTTTTTTTTAATGAACTGTCTTACCTGTGTAACGCCGGAATTCACCAAAGAAGTTCCAAGTGGCTCACCCTTGAACACAATCACTGGCAAACTATCAAAATCCCATCCAAGAACCTTACACACAACCTGCCCAAGAGCTCTATGAGCTCTCTTTCTCTTCGTCTTCGATATAGAAATTGTGTGCTGAACAAGGCCTAAACAATCTTTATACCTCTTGTTAAGTTTCTCCCCAATCCCACGACAAACCAAGCAACAAAATTCACCCCTATCGTGGTTCTTCTCATAGTAACTCCTCAACTTATCATCCTTTACAAACAATTCTAGCAAAAAATTAAACTCCTTACTCTCTAAACCCTCATCATCCTCAGTCAAATAATCCATCTCACCAAACTCCTCATCGTAAATGCGATCCTCTTCTTCATCACTTTCATCTCTATTAGAGAAAAACTCCTGGCAAGCTTGAAGACCCTTCTGCTCTACTTGCATTGCCAACTGTTTCGCTTTCTCTCCGGCCGACAAAGGCCCAGCTTTCGACTCTGCTTTCAGTTTCACCTCTCCCCAGCCAGCGGTGGGTGGAGAGTTGACAGGCCATTTGGGGCCCCAATCACGATCCGGGTCGGAGTCTGATTCGGAGCCAGATTTGTTCTCGACAATGTTTAGTTTTTTGGAACTTCTCATCTTCTTTTGTTTCTTCAAAGGCGAGGTGGTGGTGGGTTTATGGGGGTTTCTTGATGAATTGCGAGTGTCGTTGGATTGGTTTGGTGGTGGGTTAGGGATTCTGGGAGGGCCTTGATGCCATAAAGAATGAAGATAAATCACTTCATCTCTCAGTCTCTGTTCATCGTACGAGTTCATTTTTCTTCAAGCTTTGAAAATGAAAAATAAAATTGGATTTCCTTATATATCGATCGGCTCAGTGAAATATTTTAATTATTTACTAGAGTCAAACTCGTCAAATATTCGATAATTAAATATTTTTAAAGAATTTGATAATAATTAAAAAAATAATGAAAATAAAGTATTTTACGGATGAAGTTTTTATCCTTAAGACTTTAACTTCGCTCGGTAACTGAAATTATGGCGGGAAACAATTCTTGAGAACTCTCAGTTATCTCCGCAACACTAAAACGATCTCCTTCCTTTATGTTTACTCTCTCCACTTTCCGTGCACCCTGCTGTAACCCTATCATTGTCCAACACTTGTTTACTCTCAGTTGTTTCTGTTTCCATAAAACACAAAATTACTTCCGCTGTTTCTGCTTCCAAAAACAACTGCAACTACCACTGCAATCAATGGCGCCTTCAGTCGTGGCGGAGTACGCGAAATCGAACCGGTCGGCGTGCAAGAAGTGCTCAGAAAAGATTGCGGCCCAGGCCTTGAGATTGGGGTCGGTCAGCAGAGACTCGCGAGGGTTTGACTTGACCAAATGGCATCATGTGGACTGCTTTCCTTTCGCTTCTGAGCCAATTGATTCTGCCGACAGCATCAAGGGCTTCTCATCGCTTAAGGTTTGAGCTCCGTTTTCAAAATTTTGAGTTTTTAGGGTTTTAGGGGTTTGTTTGGTTGGTCAGAAAATTGGGGAAAAGAAAGCGAAGTGGAAAATGGGTATGTATGGGCATTATGAGCTCTGTTTTTAATATTAAAAAAAATGTTCTTTTATTTTTATTTTAGGTTAAGGTTCGTTTATGCACCGCGTTTTCAACTCTAAAACAATGAATAACACATACAATTTTTTTTATTCTTTTTAAATATTTGGATACATGTCCTAAACTTAGATTGGTATTTTGTTGGGCGCTAAAAGTAAATTCTGAAAGTTTCATTCTTTTTTGTTTATTGGTTTTTGGTTACCTTGGTACTCTCTGCAACCAAGTGGAGGTTTTGGCTTTGAAGTATGCGCGATATAGTTTATTTTTATTCTTTTGTGGTCTATATATTCAGAGTGGTGATCAGGAAGCTTTGAAGAAATTGGTGGTTGAATGCAAGAAGTCTCCCGAGGAGGTATGAGTTGATTTTCACAATAACATATAACCAAATGACTTACTCTCTCTGCTTTGGAGATGTGGTCTTTTCATTGTTATAGATATTGTGTTATATTTATGTACCTTTTCTGAGCACCTATTTGAGCAAATTGTGAACTTTGCAGGTTTCAGGGAGGAGCCAAAACGAAAATGCGAAGGTACAGATGGCAAATGACATAGACTTCAGTTATCGGTGTGATTCAGTTGTTATTTTTGTTAATTACTTTTCTGTCACATATTATGTTTATTCTGTAACTAGGTTCAGAAAACAAATGAAGACAAAGAAGAGGTTGAATTGGAGGAAGGAAATTCAAAAAGAATAAAGGTAGTCAATACTCTCTCTCTTGGTATGTGGATTTGGAGGTCTTAAAATTAATTAGTATTTGTATAATAATTCTCTTTGGTATGTGTAAGATCTTTTACTATAGCTAATTTTTTTTTTTCTTGTATCCTAATGTAAGTGGTGGAATTTAATAACTCATGGAAAATGATGAAAGACAAGATGGAAATTGTGATAGACAGAGAACTATATAAACCACACACCAAAAATATCTATCCGAAATAGTAACCTCAGAATAACAAAAAAGGACTTTTGCAAATTCTTAGAGACAATTTTTATCTGAAAATTTTACAATTCTTGATTATTTCGGGGTGGATGACCTTGTGCTTGTTAATATTTCGTTTGTTTCTTCTGGCTGCCCAGCTTCAAAGTGTATGCCTATTTGCTTAGAGATAAAAAGATGTGACAGCATGCTTTGAGCTTTGTGCTATAGGTTCTTGTTTCATTTGTCCATATATAAGTATTTAAACCCTATATTGATTGTTGTCATTTATTTTCTGTTTATTAACACATTGCTTTTAACAAAAAAAGTTATAGACTACTATGATACTTACATCCATTTTTCACTAATCACTTGCAAGTTGGATGTTAATTTCCTTTCTGCCCTGTTTTCATGTGATTCCTTCAAGTTATCAACTCCTAGTAGGGAAGCTAATTTGGAAATACCATTTTCTGTCTCTGACATCAAGGAAACCTATAAGGTATGCTATATTCTAAATTACATTTTTTTTTTTTTTTCAAAAATCAGTCTTCTGTATCATTCTTATTTTGCTTTGGTAATATCTTTACCTCTTTCATGCTCCCACCCACCTGCATAATGTATTCAACTATCTTTCTGATTCAGGACGCAAAACTGTTACCAAACTGGAAGGCCTTCCAGACAACCATATTTCTTGAAAGGGTGAGACACCTGTCCTACTGATGGACATTATTGCCTTTGCTGCTTCTTTTCTTTTCTTTTCTTTTCTTTTTTTGTTTTTGTTTTTTGGTGGATATGGACTATGGTGAGTTATAGTGTAATATTAGTTGGTATTTCTTGGGGAGGGTTTCATAGTGATATAACATTGGCCAGGATTTCATATTGGTTAAATGTGATATATTTGGTCTTATGATCTGCCTTGTTTTATGCTTTCTTTGTTGAGGCATTGAAATCCAAACTATTTTCTTACCGTTTCTAGTTACTTTTCTGCTTTCTTACAATGTAGTACTGCATATACATGTTTGCACATGTTTACTCATGTCACATATACTTGCATCTGTAGTTTGTCTGGAGGACTTCACATGGTTATGCCTTTCATCTGTAGTAAGAACCTATTTTGCTTATATGTTTGTGCTTTTTAATATTTATAGGATGATGGTCTTCATGATTCAAAGAAAATTGCAGCATTTGATTTTGATGGATGTCNTTTTTTAGCTCATTTATGATTGTAAAACCAAAACACAGCAGCCCCATTTTACTCTCACTCTCATGCCACTTTCAGCTTTTGATTGAAAAATCAAATACTTCTTTTCTTTTTGATTTCTTTAGGCCAAGGAGGATTTAGCAAATCCCTCCTTGGTTCTTGGTGGTTGTCTTCGTGTGGACTTCTTGGTTCGATCCTATACTTGGATCGGTAGTAAACACGTTGAGAGACAATATTGGTGGAGCCTCCAATGTGGGTATGACTCTAAACCTTTTAGATTTATTTTATTTTCTATAGATTCTTGATATTATACATAAACTGTAAAATTTGTGCCTTGATTTTGGGCTTTAAGGAACGATCTACGGTTGTATAAAATTTTTGTTTTCCGCAGTGCAACCGAGTCGTTTCCTAACAATAATGACGAGTTTCGATCCCCCTCGGACTTATAATGAGGCCTTGAGGCGAGCAATGAGGGCGGAAATCTTTGAGAATAAAATTCCCTTAGTCGGTTCCTCGATAGGAGGACCAAGTGAGCCACATTCTGCCCCGCAGAAAGAGAAATTTGAGGGTGTGAAACGCAAAGAAATGAAGAATCAGAAGAAGAAGTTTCAATTTAGACAAAACAGAAGAGAGTGGAAGAGTAAGCGACCCCGGACGAAACTATTTGCAATAAATGTGGGAGGAACCACTCAGGAGAGTGTCTGAGAGACTAGAGGGTGTGTTTTAGGTGCTGACAGCCAGGGCACTTGATGAGAGATTGTAAAGCTCCTCTTCCATCACCCGCATAGAGTTCAGGAGGTACTACGAATGCCAAAGTGTTTACAGTGGCACAGGGTGAAGCAGAGGCCAGTCCATCAGCTATTACTGGTCAGTTATTATTCCATTCTGTTCCTTTGTATGCTTTAATTGATTCAGGAGCCACTCACTCTTTTATATCGTATAGGATAATTGAGAGGTTAGGTTTGTAACCTACTAGAGTGACTCAACCCATTAGGATAAAGTTACCCGATGGGGTTAGTGTTATGACGCAAGAAATGTTGACAGGAGAGTCTGTGGTGATCCAGGGTAGAGATTTAACGGTTGATCTAATAGTTTTTTATATGCCTGATTTTGATGTGATATTGGGTATGGATTTCCTAGGGAGATACGGAGTAAAGATTGATTGTCGGAAGAAGAAAGCGAGATTTAATCTCGATAATGGAGATAAATTTAGTTTTGGAGAGGGCCATAAGTTGAGCATGTTGATTAGTAGTATGAAGGCTAGAAAGATGTTGAGAAATGGGTGTTCAGGATATATTGCCCATGTAGTGCAGAGTGGTGATGTTCCACAGCCAGAGATTTAGAGGGTGCCAGTAGTTCGAGATTTTCTAGACGTGTTTTCGGAAGAGTTACCGGGTTTGCCTCCAGAAAGGGAGGTTAAGTTTAGTATTGAACTAGCACCAGGGACAGCAGCAATATCCAAAGCCCCTTATCGAATGGCCCCAGCAGAGCTTCAGGAATTAAAAAAACAACTCCAAGAGCTTTTGGATAAAGGCTTTATCCAACCGAGTCATTCTCCCTGGGGAGCTCCAATTTTGTTTGTGAAGAAGAAAGATGGGTCACTACGGACGTGTATCAATTATAGAGAATTGAATAAAGTGACAGTGAAAAATAAGTACCCGCTACCTCGCATTGATGATTTGTAAGATCAGTTAAAAGGAGTCGCAGTGTTCTCTAAAATTGATTTGAGGTCAGGGTACCATCAGGTAAGAGTGGTTTAGCAAGATGTGACTAAGAATGCCTTCTGTACAAGGTATGGGCATTATGAGTTTGTAGTGATGCCATTTGGTTTGACTAATGCCCCAGCAGTTTTTATGGACTTGATGAACCGGGTCTTCCATGATTACTTGGATCGGTTTATAGTGGTCTTCATTGATGATATCCTGGTTTATTCTAAGTCAAGGGAAGAGCATGAGGAACATTTGAGGATAGTGTTACAACGATTAAGAGAAAGGAAACTATACGCTAAATTTTCTAAGTGTGAGTTTTGGCTTGATCATGTGATATTTCTGGGCTATACTGTGTCTAAGGAAGGGATTTCAGTGGATCTGAGTAAAGTGCAGGCAATCTTTGAATGGTAGAGGCCGAGAACAGTGAAAGAAGTCAGGAGTTTCTTAGGCTTAGCAGGTTACTACTGGTGATTTGTAGCAGGGTTCGCCCAGTTGGCTAAACCATTGACAGCTCTTACCAAACAGAGAACTCCTTTTGTATGGTCAGAAGCATGTGAAAAGAGCTTTCATGAGTTGAAGAAGAGCACCATTACAGATCAATTGGCTTAGATTTACATTAAAGAGATAGTTAGGTTGCATGGTGTGCCCAAGACAATAGTGTCAGATAGAGATTCCAGGTTTGTCTCAGCTTTCTAAACGAGTTTACAGAGGAATTTGGGTACCCGTTTAGCATTCAGTACTGCCTATCATCCTCAGACGGATGGCCAAACAGAGAGAACAAATCAGGTACTGAAGGATATGTTGAGAACTTGCTGTATGGATTATAAAGTATCTTGGCATGAGATGTTACCCTTAGTGGAGTTTGCCTACAACAACAGTTATCACTCTACGATTAAAATGGTGTCTTACGAGGCTTTGTATGGTAGATGATATAGGTCTCCACTACATTAGGATGAAATCGGCCAAAGGGATAAGTTGAGTACCGCTCTTGGGCCAGAGGTGACTCAGAAAATGATAGAGGACGGAAAGTTAATCAAAAACAGAATGAAGCAAGCCCAAGATCGACAGAAGAGCTATGCCGACTTGAAGAGGAAAGAGATTGAATTCCAAGTGGGCGATAAAGTATTTTTGAAAGTTTCCCCCTACAAGCGAGTAATGCGCTTCGGAAGCAAAGGGAAGTTAGCACCGAGATATATAGGTCCATTTGAGATATTGCAACGAGTGGGAAAGATGGCCTATAGATTAGCACTACCACCTAGTATGGACAAGGTGCATGATGTGTTCCATGTCTCAATGCTTTGGAAGTATGTAAGTGACCCCTCCCATATCTTGAAAGTAGATGATGTTGACATAAAAGAGAACCTTGTGTATGAGGAGCGTCTAGTACAAATTTTGGATCAGAGGGTTAAAGAGCTCCGGAACAAGAGTATTCTGTTAGTAAAACTTCTTTGGCGAAATCATAAAGTAGAAAAGGCCACATGGGAGGTGGAACAAGACATGCAGAATCGTTACCCGGAGTTGTTCGTGTGAATGTCGAGGATGAAATTCTTTTAAGGGGGGGAGAATTGTAACGCCCCACTTGAGATACATAGCTAATGTTTATTGTTTTGCTCTTATTTGCGTGGGTATATTGTTCATATTATTTGGTTGGCCCTTGGTTGAATGGATGTATGGGTTTGGTTGAGTGGTTGCCCTAAAATTGTAAAGACTTAGCGAAATTTTAGTGTTACAGACTTTGCCGGGGCGAAGAATAATCTTCGCCGCGGTGACTAGGTTCTGCAACCAAAGAGGTAGGTTCCGTAATTTTTTACCGAGGCGAAGAAAGAGTCTTCGCCATGGCAAAGAGCTGAATAAAATGTGTATTGAGGTTTCTAGAGAATTCTTCCATTGGGGCAAGATGACCTTTCTACCCTTAGTTAGCAGGAAAAGTGAGGAGTAAAATGTAAGAGAATTTTATGGAGAATATGTTAGAGTGGGGGTGTGATTGTAATGATTGAAAGGACAAAGATGGAATTTCTAAGGAAGAGCAAGGGCAATATGGGAAGGAATGAATATATTTTGAGCTAAAAAGGGTTTAAGCTTAGTAAACCCTTCATTCAATCTTCTTCCACCGCCATACTCTTTCACCATTTCCTCTCAATTCTTCCTTCCATCTTTTAAGGATTTTTTAGGGTTTTTAGTTGGATCTTGGTAGAAAATCAATATAAGGCATCCTAAGATAAGGATTCTTGCTTAGATGTGAAGTTTTGCATATATTTCTACATTGAAGGCTTATGGTTGTAAAGTTGCAAAGAAGGGACAAGCATTTAAAGGAAAGGAAAGTGCTAGTGAGATCTCTCCATTTCAAGGTAAGTAAATCCATCCCAAGTTGAGATTTGAGAAATCTTTTTAGTAGAGATTTATATACGCATGTGTATGTTATGCTATTGAGAAATTGGGGTTGAGATGAGTATTTGTTTTATGGTTGTTGATTACACTTCATTGATGAGAAATGTTAATATGTGATGAATATGTAGTGATGAGAGGATGTAGTTTGTGTTGAAATTGGAGGGGATTGATAAATCTATTTGGAAGTGTTATTTTATGATAGGGATTATAATTTTGTGAGGGAGTTTTCTTCCATTTTGGATGGTTCAAGGAAGGAATAGAACCATAGATATAGTAGAGTTTATGTATGCACATTAGTTGTTTGATGAAATGCCTAAGAGAATCATGAGTAGTAACCTTAATTCTTGCAACATTGCATATTGGCATTTCATGAGTGCATTAGTGGAGAAGATTAATTGTGCATTGAGAAGTGGCTTGAGAAAGAGTAGAGAACTATGTGTATGAACTACTCTAAGAGTAGAGAGAATGAGAAAATATGAAAAAATGGGTTGGTGCTTTGTGATCTCCACCCGAATGTCACGAAGAGTGGGTTGGTGCTATGTGAACTCCAACCGACCGTGCCTCCGTAAGATGAGGCCGTGACATATAGCAGAAATTAAATAAGAGAACTGTGTGAAAGAGAAAATAAATGAGATGAGAAAAGTGTAAGGAAAGAATTAAAAGAAAGAAGTTACGGGGACAGTCTTAGAGGATTTACTTACTGAGCATTATTTTGTGCTCATCCCATTGTTTTCTTTGTAAATGCAGGATCTAGGTGAGAACGCGGTTGGACGAGCGTTGGCAAGCGAGGAACAATAGCTACACTGTCCGCTGTTTTAATGGCATTTTGTAAATGATGTTCTATTTTGTATAAACAATGTTTATATGTAATAAAAGAAAATATTGGGCCCATTTACTTTTACTAA